ATTCTCTTCCCTTGTTATTTTCTCTTATCATTACTATTATTGGTGGAAGCAGCAGTGGTTTATGTTATACCTTAGTTACTGGCCTGTTCTTATCTCAACCCGTGGGAGTTACATTCTTTCGATTCTCCTCTCCATCCCTCTGGGAGCAGGGAGGGGAGAAAGAAAGAGGGAGGAAATGGGGGGAGAGAGTGAACGAGCTGTCTGGCTGGGTTTAAACCACGACAACGATCTAACAAAAAAAGAGCAGTTCCGAAACACAGATAGGACAGCTTCTTACAAAAGAGGCACTGCATTTAAATGAACTTACAGGAAGAGTGGATACTTGGAAAGCTTTTTCTGCCTTCAGACACCAGATCTGGATCACCTGTGCAGTGCATTTCAGAGTTCATTACTCCATCTGGAAAGCAGCGGTAAAAGAAATCGGGACGCGGTCTACAAAAAACACCATGGATATTAAGAATATAAAAGCCGTAGTAGCAAATAAACCTCAAAGTAGTTATTACATTTAGTGCTTATTACATACAGAGTTCATTCCCTCCATTAACACAGCAACATCTTTTAGACTGGAAAAGACCTTTAAGATGACAGAGTCCAACAGTATACCTAACACTGGCAAGTCCAGCCTAGGACATGTCCCTCAATTCAAAGTCACTTTCCTTGCACGCAGGCTATCTCAGGGAAGCTACCAGTGAAGCGTACAAGGGGGAGTTGTCTCGGAAAATCATACTGTCATACTGATCCTGAGCTAATAAACCATGTAGAGAAGCAAGACCAGAGACACACTGACAGAGCAACTAGTTGGCTTGAAGTACAGGCAAAATGAGCTCATGTCTGCCTGAAGAAGAGAGTGCAGACGTTCTTAATTGTGTTTCAAAAGCACTCTTAAAGTGCCAAGTACCATTATTGTCAGGGCGTTTGTAGCAGAGAGGGTTCATCAGAAACCAAGCAAAACTACTGCTTCCTCAATGCAAAAAAGGTGAACAAAAATTGCAGCATTGGTCTCTATTAAATAGCGTATTAAAGCCAAATATACATTTTTCAGATGAAATTATTTAAAATTCTGATGAAGAGCCAAATAGTACCTAAAAAAAAAAGTTAATTTCCAGAGGGTATTTTTACTAATTTTTTCTTTTCTGAGCCCTCCATTCAAATTTATGCTTTCCTAAAAAAATGTCCTACCTAGAGTCCACTTCCTGCTTAGCTCCAAGTTTTGATCTGCCATGGATCTTGATGTTACCTGGAAATACTACATGCAGTAATATGCTTCACATGAAATGCATGCACTGGGTTATACGGAGACTCAATTGATTCCTCTTTAATCAGACTAGTGGCACTGGCATCTGAACTCCCATATGCTGTGTTGCCAATTTAATGAACCAATTCTGCCTCACACCTTTCCTTTCAAACTCCTCATTTGTCTGGATATGCCAGCTGGTCAAACAAATAACAAAGCACAAGGGCATAGACTCCTACCACAGCTGGATGTCACATAATGAAGTTGTACAACATTTGCACCAGGAAAAGGACGGCTTCACAGGGGCCCATTCTAATTCAGAGCAAGAGCTATCATTTTATTTTTATTAAGATGCATTGTAATTTGTCAATCTGCCTTCATTTCTCTTAACAGTTAAAGCTACCATTTATAACATGACAAAACTTACCTTCCCACTATTAATTTGATAGTATTTGTGCAGACGCCATTCAGAGCTAGAGCCAAGGAAACAGCTATAAAACAGAATGAACAAACAGAACAATAATAACCTAAATACCAGGCAAAAAATAGCAGCATTACAGCATTCCATTTACAGAGCAAAACCTTTTCTGGACTGAAAACCAAATGGTCTTCACATCCTACTGTTTTTCTTTTTAGCCAGACTAAGGAGAGACCCCAGAGCATCATCATAATCATGACTTTGCGCTGCTTTTATTCTTGAGAAATCTGATTTTCTTCTACAAAGCCATCTACCATGCCATTTGCACAGGCATAAATCAAGAGATGGAAACAATTATTAGAGAATCAAGTACTGTGTTTATCAGTTTTGTAATTTCCTAGATCAAAATCTTAAGTTCTTGGGGTCAAAATGAGTTCTTTTATGGATGTATACATAAGATACATGCATATAAGTATACACATATGTACACGTGTGTGTTTATGCATGGATATTACATACAATAGTTACACAGTCCATTTTCAGCCTAAAGGATTGCCTTTTGGGTAAAGCTAGGATTTGATGATTTTTTTTAATTTTTCTTTCAAAAGGATGTGGATATTTTGAGTAAAAAGTTTGATGTTTTCCCCTTATATTTGCTCCTATGATTAACCAATTTTCCTAATAAATTTGGAGTACTAAACACGCACATACTAGGTATGACTGAATCCTCTTTTTTATCTGTACCTGTGCGCCGAGTCCCTAGAGTTTCTGGAGAATCTCATCGACAGCCTCCTGCATGCACTCCTTTTAGATTAAAACTGAGATTCAACATTGCAGTCCACACCTCAGCTCCCTGTTACAACACAAGTGCCACTGAATTTTATTTCCCATCAGAAAAAAAAACCTATCAGGCAAATCTCTGATTTCCAGCAGAACAGTTACAATAATACAGTGACAGCTGCATGAGCTATTTTCTCATTGGACTGCAGCCCCAGATGCTGCACTTTAGCGGCACTCATCCTGTGTCCATAAAATCTTTGCCAGAGGATACTATAGATCAAAAAAATGTGCATTATAGGATCTATTTTTCTTCAAGTTAAATAAAAGGAGGCCTTCCATCAAAGCAAAACCAAGGGTTTTCTCTGACTATAGCAATAGCTGTCAGCAGAAATGAAGGAACAAGTCAGAGACACTGATACTGCTCAAAGAAGTCTTCCACACTCAACACCTACGTTCAGAGTGACCAATCAATCCCATGCTCTCTTTTTCCTTTCAATTGTGTTCTCTCAGATATTTATGGTGACTGCATGGTGAACTGAAATCTTCCACAAAGCCAAATGCATGCGACCAGCAGTGTTATAAAATGGGAGATGTAGATATCTGCTTTTTGAGACATGCAGTAAGGTTTAATCATTTCATAGTGCTTTGTCTTGATTGTTCGTTGCCTACCTGACTGAACCGGCTTCCACTGATGCATATTCCTTATAATGCAAGCCAAGCTTCTAATGACAGTGTGAATGTAAGATGATAAACAAATTGCAACTGCTATCATTTTGTTCCCTTTAGGGAAGATTCATAGTGCACATAAAAAGTCATATAATCAAGCCAGTAGCGAGATGCAGGTACTTCCAGTGGAAGGATTAAGGGCACCTACAGTAGAAGTTAACTACTCCTTACCCTAGACACACAAAATCACCTTCTTTATGTTAATGGCTATATGAGAGACAAAGCACTTTCACATCATTTTAATCTTTGATTTATTCTATGGATGATGCCTAAAGAAATTCACCTTTGGGGGACTTCCTGACCATTAAGAACATTATATTCTAGATCTCAGCAAATCAGCAAAGTTCTGCCATAGTTGATGAATCTTCACAATCAGCTTCACATCACAAGACACATTAACATACTGAATCATAGTAATGCACGGTACACTTAAATAAGCCACAAGAAGTTCCACATGTATGGACATGGGAATACTGAGCAGGGATACCCTGCAGAACAGAACATCAAGGCTGGGGTTTCCTTTAGGTCTGGCCAGCAAGGAGAATACTGGGGAAGCTGAAATTTTTCTCCTGGACATTTTAGAGGGAATCATAACAGAAGGCAAGAACAGCAGAAAAAATGAATGTCTTTTTAGAACAAAAAAGTGAGAATACGTGACGAAGAAACTAATCAAAGCTCTTTTCCTTCTTAAACAACAGAAAATGAAACCGAGAACTGCGACTGTATGCATTTTATGAATCAGAGCTATTTTTACTTGAATGGACTTCTCAGTAAAACATCACTGCAAGGCATTTCAGAGCTTACTACAAATGACTGGCAGCAGCCAAAACAAACCTCAATCTTTTCACACTTGTGTTAGAGCAACTGGAGAAAGAACAAGCTATAGGAACCCAGTCTTGTCTATGAAAACTTCAAAAGCAGATACACAGTGGCATTTACGTCCTTTCTAGCTAAGGCTAGGGTGAGTATTGTTTGACCTCACAATCTAAGGGCCAATAAATTCAAGTGCAAATTAGGCAGTAAAGGAGATATTCAGAATTAGGCAGGTTTCAAACACGCTGCCAACAGAAACATTTACAGTTCTTAGTGCTTCAAAGCGTCCTCTGCCAGTGAAAGTGCTTTAGTCAGTTTTGGTCTCTGGCACTGTGTATGCAAACAGGATCTGGGCACATAACACTAAAAGATTTCAAGAGAGAGACACAGCCAGAATCAGCTGGAACAGTTTAAGATTTACCATCCCCATTGTCTACCTGCTCCTCTACTCAAAGTTGCTGCCTACAACTGTAATTAGAGCTCATCCATAACACAGCCATAGCAGTTCACAGTCCAGCATTAAGTGCACATCTGACTCCACTGGCAGTTTGAAATGAAACATCAGCTCGTGGTTACAAAAACTGAGCCATGAGCACGCATTTTGCAACGGGGAACAGTAAATTCCAGGAGATCAGAGAGAGCAATGGGAGGAGTAATTTCCTACATTAAACAGCTGAATCTCACACGGCTTTCCAGTGATACCATTAATTTAGAATAGCTACAATTATAAACAAGAAGTAAGACATTGGTTGTAACAGAAAAATATACATCTGAACAGTGTCTCAGATGGTCTTGTCTTTGCTAATTGAATTCTGGCTCTTGCGAGTTATATTGTGTATAGAATTTGTACCTTTAGACATATGCATTGAAAAAAAGGCTTTTCTGAGACGGCTTGCAACTACACCTGCACTGAAAACAACTGTAATGGACTGTAATGGAGACAGGATTTCTTCGAGGTTTAGACTACAATTGGAATCAATCTCTGAGAGCTATCACACATTTTTCATCTTGAAGAATCACATACATTACCTAAGAAAGCCTCTTTGATTTCAGTCTTGTCTGTTCGCCGGATTATTTTGACCACAAAAATGACTGCCAGTGGCGTGAGGAAGGAAATTGCCTGTAAAAGATAACAAACAGCTTGTGTGAGAGCATCAATTCCTTTTGAGTCCAACTGATAAACAGTCGGTTTCAGTTAGCTCCATTTAAACTGGAAAGCTGAATGATCTTTATCAAACGCCTGACCTTAACAAAAGTGGCATCCCAGACTGGTTTGTGTTGGAAGGGACCTTAAAGCTCATCCAGTTCCAACCCCTGCCACGGGACACTTTCTACTAGAGCAGGTTACTCCAAGCCCCTGTGTCCAACCTGGCCTTGAACACTGCCAGGGATGGGGCAGCCACAGCTTCTCAGGGCACCCTGTGCCAGCACCTCAGCACCCTCACAGGGAAGAGCTTCTGCCTAAGAGCTCATCTCAGTCTCCCCTCTGTCAGGTTCAAGCCATTCCCCCTGGCCTGTCCCTACATCCCTTGTCCAAAGCCCCTCTCCAGCTTTCCTGCAGCCCCTTCAGGCACTGGAGCTGCTCTAAGGTCTCCCCTTCAGGAGCCTTCTCTTCTCCAGGCTGCCCCAGCCCAGCTCTCTCAGCCTGGCTCCAGAACAGAGCTGCTCCAGCCCTCGCAGCATCTCCATGAGCTCCTCTGAACTCACTTGAGCAAGTACACATCCTTCTCGCGTTGGAGGCCCCAGAGCTGGATGCAGGATGACTTTTCTTTGCAAGTACAGGGCAATGAATATGTTAAAAATATGTAAATGTGCCATGTATCTGAAAAGCAGCCTACTTCGTGCACTGCCTGTATACTGCAGTCTGTCCTCCCAGAGCAGGGATTTATTGTTTTGCCAGAGAGATATATCAGTTTCTACCAAGAACAATACAAGGGAGTTTTTCATTAGTAGCCTGCCATGAAAACTATGATTTTGTTCCTAACTGGTCCTTCCATCATCCCTTCTGTCTCACACTTTCAATTGCCGAGGTAAAAGGCAACTTGTAATCCAGTTACACTTCTTGTCGGTTCTGGTCTAAGTTAACCAATTCCTTTCTGGAATCTACAAACCTCTTCATAAACACATTTCTTCAAAAATGAGTCAAGCATTCAAAATCATTCGAAAGCATTTATTCTCTTGAAGTGAAAATGGGCCCTTAAAAGAGATGAAAATTAAGCTGTACATGGCACAAAATGTGCCAGGGCTTAAATAAGATTATGCTATCTCTACTGAGGCTGAACAGCGCTTTACTTCTTAAGCAGTCCCACTGTAATAAGAGATAGACAGGACAAACAGGTTATGACAAACACATGCAACTCTCTTCTTTTTATAATAGAGATTAAGTCCAGTCCTCATTTTATGCTTTTAGAATATCTGAATAGGCAACAACATGAAAATGCACTGTATATGTTATTTCGGTAGTGCATAATGGACCAGATTCCCCTCACCTGCATCTGCAAATCATTATCTAACTCACTGAGCCATGCAAATTAAAACACAGTCTGGAGTCTGCTCCCCTTTTTTCATTTAGAAAAGCAGGCACCAGGTTTTCTGTGACAAAGATGCACCATTTCCACTTAAAACTCCCTTCTGTCTATAGTCTGAGTGAGATTTATTTAAGTTAGGTTGCCAGTCTCATGTTACTGCTCCAGAATTGTTCACTTCTCTCCATCCTCAGCAACAGTTTAATTTCTGCTTTCAGAGACAAAGAGTGAAATAAAAGTTTAAAGCAAAACCTTGAATTATTAGTTTCATTGTAAAAAGTAACGATTGCCACCAGGAAAGAAAAGAAGAAAGATATCTGCATGCCATTGTTGAAGAAGATGTAGAAATATGGCCAGATGACAGGCTCTTTTACACAAGCAGAAGAAAATATTAAGACTAGAATTGAAGTAGCAGCTCATTCCCAACCGTTTTACAATCAATCCTCAGAAATCTGGTAAAACTGCAGATTTCTTCATATTTCACAAGCATACAGATTTTTCAGAGAGATGAAGAATTATTCGTGTTTGTCATACACTGCTGTTCCTTACACAAAAGCATTAGCTGGAAGGTGGAAATTATTCTATTTTACTTTTATTCTGCAGCAAAATGCACATATAAAGAAAGTTTGGCTTGCTAAGGACTCTTTTTTTTTCTTTATTTTGCAGAAAGATTCTGTACGGCTCATATCCATAACAGATTTGGCATCAGTCTAATGAGCAATACTCTCTTCAGATGCATCTCAGTAATGTTTTCTTTTCCAGCAGTGAAATATTCCAAAATTGCCTTGCTTTTGTGAAACATGGTCAAAATCTCTCTCATTCATTATTCATCCTGGCAAGACAGAGATATGTTAAAGTTATAGGGACGCCCACATACTTCCGTGCATTCAAGAGAAGTTGACAGTACCTTATACTTTCCAAGACAAGGAATATTCACTCACAGAGAGACAGAACAAGACTCGGGTCTTTTCAGTCCTTGCTGCTACCTGTGGATCTGGGTTTGGAATATTCACAACATTTCTCTTGGATTCAAACCTCTCAGCATATAAAATGATCGAGCAGTTCATAAACTCTTCTGGCAAACCACAGCCATACTCTTTAGTATGGGAATATGCCACTAGTGGCAAGGAATTCTTTACCTAATGAAAGCTTGTGTCAACGCTACAGTTGGATTTTATTTCTTAATTAAAGAAATAACACTTAGAAATTATCTAGGTTTCTGAATTTGAGAAGTTGTTCACTGAGCTACTTGATGTTAATGGTCTGAGGCAGAAAGAGAACATGGACTATGCAAACATTACTGACCCACAGCTACCTGGAAGTCCCACCATCATGAAGTATATCAAAACCTGGCTCTATGGGAAGCGGTCAACAGGGAAATATATTGCACATATGCCAGAATCGTGCTTCCCAGTGGCCACTGACTAGAGAGCAGAGGATGAACTAATGATTATCCCAAATGGTTTAAAAAATGGTTTAACCATTGCAGCAATCCCCTGCACAATGATTTACTATTATCTCTTGAGCTCTTCAGTTATAAATACAGATCAGAGAAAACAAGGTAGCAAGGTAATGCTCAGCATAAAGAAAAATGGCAGAATTAAACTCAAGAGTCTTCTCTAGTATAACAATGTAATGTTTGGGTTTGTGAGTTTGGGGGTTTTCATTTGTTTTAGACAGCTACATACTATTTCAGGAAGGACGTATGTTTCCACTCATCCATCTCAACAAATCCTTAATAAAGCTTCTCCTTGATGCAATATAAACAATATGTTATGAACTTAAAGCCAGGTCTTCAGCCTATGTCTTAGAAAGCTCTGATATACTGGCACTTCATAAATAGGAAACACCTTCAAGTTGTTCCTCAATTAAAAAGGTTCTGTAACTGAAAGCCTGACCCTTTAAAAGAAAAAATGTGAAGATAAATGACATAGCTGATTTGCATTCAGCCTGAATTCAAGCCTTAATCTGAAAAGTAAAATCCTGGCTTCACTAAAAGACACAGGAAAGGATGTTTTGATATAAGGGTACTACGATTTGACCTCATCCACCGTCCCCACTCGGACTGATGAGGCTTTCACAAAGACTGACCGACATGTTTTAATAGCCTGAGCTACAGCTGTAATTTCTTAGCATCTCTGCAGCACTCTTACTGCACTCTTATAGTTATATATGCAGATTATTATGATTGTTAATCAGTGCTAGTGCAGGTTTTATCAAAATCTCGAATTTTGATAATCTAATTAAACCATCAAAATCAGCCAGTTTGCATGTCACCATAAGCTGTGATGGGGAGAGCAGAACAACACTGACAACAGAGCATCCCTATGGTATATTTGGTACACTTGTGGGCAGAAGTTAAGGCAAAGTTTTGTCTAGATGTTAAAAAAAAGCATTTGGAGTAAAACAGTCAAATATCTCAGTGCCTAACATGCCTAAAACACAAAATGTAAGCACTTCACCTAATAAGAGCGTGGCAAGGTTTTGTCAGGTCACCCAACCAGCTAATTTGGAAAGCTTCTCTAATCATTTCTCTAGCATCCCTCTAAGTTAACACAAGCTTAAATCTTAACCTGTAAAATCAATATTCATAAATCCAATCTCCTGCAATTCTACTTTCTATAAACTCCCCACAATTTCCTACATTTTGCCACTTTGGGCATCCCTGCTTTGGAAAATAATTGCCATCAGAATTACATAAACATCCTACCATCCTGAAAGATTTCCTACTGGTTATCCTTACTTGTACTTAGCTTATAGCCATCAAATGCCCAATAAACCTTTAGTACTTACAAACATAAGACGTGTAGGTATGTTGTCTGATTGCACCAAAGGATTTTTATACAGCCAGATCTCTTCTGGCTGGATAACTCGTTGGAATGGATCCAAAAATTCTGTAAAACTGAAAAGAAAAAGATACAATTTTTTTCCCAATTAACAATGATAAGTAAAAACCACAGAAGAGTCCTGCTGATTTAAAACTTCCCCAAGGTTAATTATGGTATAGCACGCATGAATTCTTATAACACGTTTCTATCCTACCTCACTGCTTTTTAGTAATATAACCTTCACAAATATACCTTTCAGAAGTCTATGTTCTACAACTTCATGACAGGTCCATAAACTTCAGTGTGGAGAATAAATTGTCTTTTTTTGTTTTGGTGGGAGAAGTGTGCAAAGAATATTGTAGGATTAGAAAAATCACATAGCAGATGTTTTATACCCAAGAAACCATGTACGAAATATCAAATCCAAAATGTGCCTCTCAAATGTCAAGATCCAGACTTTGAAGCACGACAGTTGTATTTGCAGGATCACAAAGCAGGGAGAAAGAAGCAGCCCAGACAATTCCTTCTACTGATAGAAAGAACAGATAACTTCAGAGAATATCTCTGAAAGAGACTTACTCCTAAAACTGGATGGGCTCACAGAAACACATTCAGATTGCCACTATTTTGATTTGGCTATCAGGCTTAAGAAGAATCTAACTCTACCAGACATGTCTCATTTTATCAAACCTGACTGTTTCAATTTTTATTCTCCTGTCATTTAGCTCTCTTAAAAAACAAACCATAAAACAAGAAATGAAACCAATGAACAAAAGAACCAAAACCACCCACTGTTTTGTAATTATGATATTTTGAAAAGGAAGATCATCAAAACAAAGAGGTTGAACTTACATTGTTATGTAGAAAGTAAATTATTTGTGTGGGTATCTGATCCAGCACTGAAAGAAGCAGTAACTGTGATCTTTGACTGCAGTAAGAAGTTTCAACAGCTTTTCAGGATTCCATAAATTGCCTCTATTCATTGAAACCATGCACTATTTTTTCCTTGGAGTCCTTCACTGTCCCTGAACTCTTCTTAGCTCTGAAGACATATCAGCCGTCATGGGAAGTTTTGCCTTTACTTTACATTACCCATTTCAGGGCTAGTTTAGTAGGACTGAAAGAATGGCTGTGGAAAGCAGACACGGACCAACTTACTCCAGACTGGTTTTACCTAATGAGCCCATGGAGCCAGAGAGAACACAGAGGTGCAGTGGCCCAAATCTGTCTTTACTGTAAATTTCCCAAAGCCAAGAACTTTAAACTTCCCCCCCCCCCCCCAAAAAAAAAAGGTTTTGTACAGGTAACAGCTACAATTGATCTGTAAATAGAAAAAGCTCAAAGCAATTTGTAAAGCAGAGTAAAATTAAGCCATACATATGCTGTCCCTGTGTGAAGACAAGTCCGCAAACCTAGCCAGGTCAGCGATTTCCCAAACAAAACTTATCCAGTCTTCTGGGTCTTAGGAAATCTTTCTTTTTACCTCTTCCGAGCAATGACCAGCTCTTCTTCATTTTCTTACCACAGAGTATAATCTCTGCACCAGTTACAGGCTTCCACATCCCCAGCACACGCTGCTACTGACTCCCTTTCCTGGAACAAGCTCAGACTTCCAGTAGACAGAAGGTGCAAAACTCTGTCTACTCCAAAGTGCCCAACCACCCTCTTCTTCCTAAAACCCAACAAAATCAGCAAACAATCACACACAACCTTGCCACTTGCACCAATAGTTACGTTTCCCTTACTGACCTACATGGACAACCAGATTCTCCTAGAAAGTTAAGGAGTCTGGTATTGCAAGCAGAATATTTACTATTATACTCAGCTTCTTCAAAACCAGAGTCTGACCCTGCTCTCCAAAGCAGGTGCAAAGTGAATTTCAGAAGTGTCAAAACACTTTGTTTCTGAGTTTTCAAGTTGAAAACGTTAATCTTTTTTATGTTTAAAAAACATTGGCTTGCGCAAAACATGAAGAAGGGAAACATTTACAAAGAGAACATTTCCAGGAAATAAAACACATCTATGAAAGATTCATTTTATATTTTTTCTCTTTCGCTAGAAAAATAAAGGTTGATTTCTGGCCAATGCAAGCAACTTTGTTTCCAACTTTCAACTGTGAGTCCTAAAGCGTATTATTTTTATTTTCAGTCTTTAAAGATTTTGACAGCAGCTAGAAGCAATTAACTGCTATTCGAAAGGCTTCAGTGGCCAAGTCAAGTCACAGGCCTGGGTATGGCATCCTACACGCCATCTGGGAGAGCTGAACAGCTATAGTCCAGACCTAACGTTTGTTGCAGAGAGATATGTAGGATCTATGGCCAGGATGTACTTCACCAATGTAAACATGAATAAATAGATAAGCACATGCATGTCTGGGCATATACAAGAAGTGAAAGACGACAGCTGGGTTTCAATAACCAAGCCTTTAACCCAGTCACATCTTTCCTGACATACTCCCTCAGGTACCTGCAGCTCTGGCTCAAAGAACTAGGACTCCTGGATATGCTAAGGAATGCCTTGAACAAGAGACACATTCTTTGACATATCCAGGCCTTGAAGCGTTTCTAATTGCAAAAACCAACCAACAGACAAACATTTATGCTTCAAGGTGATCACAGCGTATCGATGCACCAGTGTGCTTCTGGAAAATGTGTCACATTAGACCAGAGATTTAAATAATTTGACATAAAGATATTTGACATTATGAATGTCAACAGAGTTAAAGGTTTGGGGCTCTTCTTGTTCTTTTGTTTCCTGTCTCCTTCTAATGGAAGACAACCAAGATTAAAGTATAGTTGTTTAAATCTGAGAAATTAAGCTAAAGTCAAATGTATCGTTCTCACAGACATCATAATATGACACCACAAATACATGCTAAGTCATAAGATTTCATTCCCTTAAGAGCAAAATAGCACATGCAGAGATGAAACTATAATAAATAATATAAATAGTATTTGATTCCAATTAAAGACTGATTTTCTGATTAGTACATACTTACTGTCTTTGTACTCTTCTAAAGAAAGATTTATTTCAACATATTGATCGATGAAACTAATAATTATTATAGTTGCTATTGTATTTAATAACAGCAGATTTGCATATTAGTTCAGACTATGCATCCATTTCCCCCCACGATTTGTGTTCTGAATGTCTTTGAGGAATAGTGCTGAATGTGCTGAAACATACTGCAAAAAACAGGTTAAAATGCTGAAACCAGGTTATGTGGGGCTGGCATCTGGCTGATACCCACCACAGAGGCACAATCACTTTAAAATCATTACTGAAAGAGGAAAACGAAGAGAAGCAGAAGGTAGCAGATCCTGCCTGCATGAGCAATACAAAATAACCGGTTAAAGGGAAGTGACTATCTAAAAACAAATCACTTTTTTTCCATCTTCAGAAAGAGCTCAGCAGCTAATTAAATTTTTATGCTGAGACTCATAAGAGAACAATTCTGCTCTCATTTTTGAAGCATCACTGATGGGCAACTGAATACAACATTTCACTACCTTGAAGGCAATTCCCTCTGTACCCTATTAAACAATCATGAGGACATGCTGGTTTCTAAGCAGCCTGACACTTAGTGATCTATGTTCCTTCATTCTAACCAAAAGTACAGTCTATAACTATTCATAAGCCAGCACAAGCTTGTTTAAAAGAGTAGATGTTACTGGAAATGAATGTAGTCCTTGGATAAAGAAAACTGATTTCTAGACATTTTCTATTCTGTCTGAAAATACAAGCTCCATCATGTAACGTCCCCTGGTAGCAGGTGGGCAACTTAGGATGTTTACTTCATATTAGCCCATTAAATTTTAGTATTAGCTTTTTAGACTTACTTTTTCTGCACGTTGACATACTCATGCAACATTTTCAACACTTTAACAAGCAAGGTTTTGAACACTTCAGCCTAATAACATACAATAAGGTACAAAAATTTAACTTCAAGAGCCTTTAATGGTGAAATTCAAAGCAATCTAAGGGAAATGGCAACCCTAAAATACCCTTAAAAACATCTGTGAGGAATAGGTACCCAAGAGCCTGAGGTTGCTTTAGACATTCCAACATTCTACCTACAATATTACAGTGAGAAAAATGTTCTTTTCTGAGGACACAAGCACTTCCAAGGTACGTTAACTTCATTTCCATTTAACAGCATGCAGCCATGGGAGATAGTTTCTATACAAGCACCACATCACAAACTGATCAAGGTAAAAGCTTTGTGACAATATGGACAAATAATGAGGGATTTTTTGAAACCATTCACTGGTAGTGAATGAATCAAACATTGTGTAAATATCCTCATGGAGTCTTTGATCTGTGCTTCCATCATGTGTTTCTGTTGTGGTTTAAGCTCACATAAGTAACAGCAGGGTATTGTCTGGTACCTCACCTTAATTTCAAACACTGCTTACAGTAGCTACCATTCCTTGGAGTTCAGCAGCATAAAATCAAGTAGCAATGACATCTGGAAATCACTAACATCAGAGAAAGAGCAATAAGCAGTACTGCACTGGCAAAGTTGGTAAGGTAGAAAACTTTGAATGTTAGGGAAGTACTTTCCCAATCTAGCGACAACAACAGGAATAGGATAGATGGTCCCTTTAGGACTGTATTTCTGTATCCTGTTACAGCAAGATAGAAGCTACCAGCAATGAAATCATGTCTAGCATTCACCTTAGGAGCACTTTCTAGTGTTTACAAGGACTGCCACTGGCCAACAGCTTCATTTTCAGAGTAACAATGTGAAATTACACAGGGCAAACTTGGGGACTTGGATATCTGCTTTGTTGGAAGAGTTCCTAGCACGCTAGAAGGTTAAAGACTGCTCCCTTGTTTTGAGCATCAAGTAAAGGATGTACAAGGCGATTTTCAACTAAGGGATGTACAAGGGGGGTTTTGTTTGTGTGTTTGTTGGGGGGGAAAGGGGACATTAGCCTTGTCTCTTGCAGATAAAGTTTGTCCCAATTAACAAGTGACAGTAACTAAAAGAGGACAGAGAATTACATATGACATGACAAAGCACCAAAAGAGAGTGAACATGAACTTGTGATTGTGTTAGGGTTTTATACCA